AAAAAAAAAAATTTTTTTTTAATGTATGCAGTCAGTCTTCAAGATGGAACCCCAGTGATCTATGCCTCCTGTATTTACACCCTGGTAAGTTCCCTTGCATGCCGAGTCGGGGCTGGCCCCTGTGATCCATAGAATACGGTGGAAGCAACCATATCTGACTTCTGAGGCTGGGTCATAGAAATGGACAGAGCTCGTGCCTGGCATCCTCTCCCCTGGGGACACTCACCTTTGGAACACAGCCACCACACTCTGAAGAAGCCCAAGTGGCCCTCGTGAAGAGCCACATGCAGAAGAAGCTCCCCAGCCTCCAGCTGGCCTCCCCACCCAGACAGTGAATGAGCCTTCAGATGTTTCCACGCCATGGCCTTTATTATTCCCCACGAGGCCCTGGACAGATCAGCCCCTGTCTGAATTCCTGGCTCACAGAATGCTTGTTCTGTATCATTACATATTGGGGGGGGGTCACTCGCGAGGCAGTCCTGGCAGCTGGAACAGAACAGGGAAATGGATTGGGCTCCAACATTGCCGTCACCAGATGTGTGTGAACCTTGAGGGCTCTAACCCCCCGGAGGTGGTGTCTAGTAAGCACTTGTTGGAAAGAATTTGAACTATCCAGGGACAGGGCTCTGTCCTAGGTTGCTGGTTGGGGCACCCCATTTCCAATAGTCTTAAAAGTGCACGCTGAGGGACCATACAGATGAATGCCACAAGAGGGCAGGTGTACATACTGAAATAGGGTTTCGTGGACTTCACCTTCTCTCGTATTGACTTTCCCCCCTTCTTTTGCCTTTCACTGACGATTTTGTTTGATTTCGATCACGGCCCACAGGCCAGCTTCATTTCAAAGAAGTGGATCTACGTTTCAAACACCCAAGCACCCAGGAGAGAGTTCCGTCGGAGAGGCTCCCTAACAGTTAATTTAACAATGCCATATTTGTATTTCTTATAAAATATATTTTTGTAATGACAACACCTACAATTTCATTACCAAGAAAAATTGAGCTGCTATTTTTAAATGTCAGTGGGATAAACATTTCCTGACTTTCTATCACTGCATGAATGCAGATGTGCTATTTACTCAATCTCATTTATTTCATAATGGGATTAAATAATGCTTCATTATTTCATAATGAACAAAGTAATATTGTGATCTCGAAAAAAGAAGCAATTACACTTATTTTTCTTTCACCTCGGAACCCCTTCCCCCCTCGATGCGGTCTGACATTAAAATGAACTAATTTGTTGGGTAATTTAAAGTCAGCTCAATTTCTCCAGGAAAGATGAGGAAACGGGCTTCGCAGACCCTGGGGTTTTTCTGATTACAAATTGTCTTCTCGGAACATTTCTTACAAGCTCCAGGTAGCCTCTCCCCCCGAGTGCTTCTCACGGTCTGTGCGGATAGTGCTCTTGGCGTCTGGTCAGCGCCTGTCTCTCCCGGGCTGTTTAACCACAGCCCTGGAGCCGGTAGTGTTGAATCACCCAAGGCTGATCGACGCCCTCCACCCTGCAGTGTGCCCCTCACCAACCGGAGCCACCGGGTGGGGGCCAATCAGCTGCTGCCAATTGGAATGTGTAAGTTATGTGCCCCGGGCACCTCAGCAGCCTCTCTGAACCTCAGTTTTCCCATCTATTAGATGGATCCATACTTCTGATTTTCTCCAGAGGATGTCGCAGGGACTGAGAGAGAGAATGGACCACGGCTCCTCTGCTGTGATCATATGCGCCTGGGAACGTGTCCGTGCTCACGGGGCAGCGGCAGCTCGGCAGACAGCTAGCTGATATTTTCTCTGCCCTGCGTTGTGTTCTAGAACACGCCTTAAAGATGACTTTGAAAACAAGGATGCTAGAAAAGTACTAGGTCTCCCTTACTAGCCGTGTGCAATGCATGACCTCCCTAAGGGCTTCCAGAAGCTTCCTCCGGAATGGATGCTCCGTTCCATGCTTCTATACTGCATCTGAAGATCCAGCTTTTGTTTGGGAAAAAGTCCACACGAAGGAAGCCACCCATCCCATTTTCCCGCTTGGCGTTGGCAGAGATGGTCGATCACAAGAGATGGCAGTTTCTAAAGCAGCCTGTCTTCTGCTTTCCCCTCTGAATCCACACGGAGTTCTTTCAAACTTTGCTCCCTCCAAGGTCAAGCATGCTTTGGAGGAGTCAGATGTTTTTAGAGGGCAGAGTTCTGCAACGGCACACTCGAATTTCTTTCCCTTCCATGTGCCCAATGTTTCTTATCATTACATGGTCTGAAATATATATTATATTAGTACAAGGTGCTTTTTTTTTTTAAGGCACCAATAACCATGGTAAGCATGCTACATTCGGACAAGCAAATAAATTGTGACTCTGGTTTGAGAGCCACTTGGGTTATTCTGGACAAATCGCTTAACTTCTCGGATGGAGAGTCTTTAAAGACTGTCTGTGGTTCTAACATTCCGGGACTCGTCCCTGGCACTTCCCTGAGCCCGTGGTGTTAGGGCCGGGGCTCTCTCTGGGCTCCGGAGGGGCCTGCGCTCCTCACTGGTCGGTCTCAAGCTCCACTGTGTGTTCAGGGAGGATGAGGACTGTGTCTTGTCACCGTGGCATCTGCCTTGGTTCAGTCTGCTGTAACAAAAATTCCTGGCATGTCTTAAATAACAAACGTGTATGGCCCACAGTTCTAGAGGCTGAGAAGTCAGCATGGCTGGCTTCTAGTGAAATTCTCTTACTCTACGTTCATGACATCCCAAAGGGTCTCATGTCCAAACATGATCACATGGGGGGTTAAAGTCTCAACATATGACTTTGGGGAGGACACAAACATGCTGTCCATAATAGTATCTCCAGAGCCTCACACAGACCCGGACCATTTCCTGAGACCGCAGCACGAGTGGCGCCCCCTGGAGTTGTACGATGAGGCAACATATAACATGGACGCTTGAATACCGGTTGAATAAAAGACATAATAAAATATGACATTTCTGACTCAAAAGATTTTAAGTATTTTTATTAACATTTTTAGTAATGTTTTATAATAACGCAAAAGGCGATGCATACATTTAAAACAATGGCACTTTAAATTAAAGCCATGGTTTCAAAGAACTTAAGTTGATAGATCTTTTTTTTCCTGAATGACTTTAAGCATGACTTAAATATTCTAACAGGCCAATGGTTTATTGATCAGAAGAAGTTAGGTATTAAATTACTGGCTGAATACTGCCCTAGGAATCCCATTTGTCTTTAGATTTTAGGGTGATTAATTTCATAAAGAGGCAGGCTATGTTTTCATCTTTGTAACGTCTAAAAGCCTGATCTGATGGCCGTTGTTCTTCTGAGCAGTGATGTTCTAAAGATGTGTGTCTGGCCCCACAATTAAGCATTTAAATTTTGTTTCAAGTGTCAATATGCCCTAAGTTCAGATCAGTGAAAACATCTCACTTTACATGTTGTTGTTGTTGTTTTGGTTTTGTTCGTTTCTTCGTTTGGTCTTGTTCTCTCAAGGTTCTTCCCACACTGGAGAACAAAACTCAACAAATCCTGTCCACTCTGGAAAGTAGCAAAGAAGGATTGAAGTTAAGTTAGTGCTTGAAGTGGGCCCAGGGACAACTTGCCAAGATCACATTATTCTTTTCTTTGGAATCCCACCACCCAGCACTCGGCGCCTCCAAACTCCCCCAAACTCCCCCCTTCCTTACGCTCTCTGCTCTGCGGCTGCCTGGGCCCCACCCAGCGGTGCTGAGTGAGAGGCGAAAAGACAGAGCCCACTGGGCCTCTCGGGCTCCCGGCCACCTGGGTTCAGCCCATGGGAACCCCGGGGCGCCGGGGTCGGGGTGCAGGCTCTGCGGCTGACGGGTCAGCTGTGCGACGCCCCTTGCACTCTGTGGTCTCGCAGCTGCTGCCACGGGGCAGCCCCACCTCCCTGGAGGCCACGCCTCCCTCATCGCCCCTCTGCTCCCCACTTGGTGGCTTGTCCTGTCTTGGTCCTCAGCATCGGAGAATTCCGTCCGGGCACCTGCTTTCTGCACTGGACTGTGAGCTCTGGGAGGGACGGAGAGGTCTTACTCGTCACTGCCGGGGGCGCTGATGGGCGGGCTGAAGGAGTGAATGAATGAATGAAGATTGAGCAGAAGGCGCATGGGTAGTGTGCGCAGAAGAGTTTTGTAATCAGTAAACGGAAGCACAGTAATGACCATTTTCTTTATATTCATCAGCTTCAGGGCCCTTGCTCAGGTCAGAGCCCGTAGTTAGAAATGAAGGCTGGAAGGCTGGGGGTGGGGTGGGGTGGGCTGTGCCCATGGTTGCAGGCCGGTTGCCCAGGAAGCAGACTCAGACTATAGAACGCAAGATGCTAGATGAGGGAGAAGCCTCGGGCCTGGCCTGGAGGCGAGGGGAGGACGTGGCACCGGCCAGAGGAGGAGAGTTGGATGCGGGTGGCCCGATGACAGCTTTGGCTGACCCCATGGGGATCCCTGAGCTAGGAGGGTCCGTCAGACTGGTCCTGACTTGGGTCATGACAGCTTGGTCTTTATGCCCTGCCCTGACCAGATGTTGGGCGTGGGTTGTCCCAGGAAGGGCCGTGACCTTGAGTGGAGGTGTGTGCAGGCGGGGTCTGGGCAGCGCACCACAGCGTCCACTACACCTGCCCTTAGGGAATGTAAGACCCAAGGGAGCCTGCTCAGAGCCGAGGAGGCCGGGCGTGCCAAATCCTTCGCCCGAGTGAACACGGGCTTCAGTTAGGAAAACACAGCCTAGCGTATACATGAGTCTGTCGCCAAAGTGGCTCTTGTGCCAGGCTGGGTGCCAAGACCCCCCCGAGTCTGGGGCAGGGCCTCTGGGGCGCTGGCAACATTCTGTCTCTTGCTCTAGGTGCGGGGGTTACCCCGACTTATGCTCTTCTACACCCTGACTTTTCCATACACATTATGTAAATTACATCTCAATAATGCTGTTCAAATTATTTTAAATGTTTGTAACAAATGTGTCCCGGTTAACCTCCCAGCCTGCCTCCCATTTCTCTTTGCAGAAGAGAAAACATCAGCGGGGTTTTACTACACAGTTCCGCCAGCCCCCAGATGGAAACAAATTATTTTGACACCAAACTATGAACTGAGCCAGAACATCAACATTCTCTCTCTGGAGCAAACCCGATCTTCAGTCTACGTGTGGACACCTCTCCATTCTCCATGTTCGCCCTTTATCAGCTTGCGTTTCACTCAAAGGAGCATTTAAACACTATTATGGTGGGGGTGGGGGGCGGTCTGGACCGTGTTCAGTCCCTCCCCCCACGCCGGGGACTGTTGGGGACCAAGGGACAAGGGGGCCCAGTCTGGTGGGAGGCTGACACACGCTTAAGAGCTAAGTCAGTGGCTAAGCTGGACGCACAGGGCAAGGATACGCACGAACTTTCTGGAACAGGTGTTCCCTCGCCAGATTTGGAGAGACTGCCATCTAACTGCCCTGGTGCGTTGCCGGGAAACCTCATTTGGCTTGTATTTGTTTTCCTCCACAGGCCCAGCCCCTGTGTTTGCGACTCTCAGCCTTTCTGTATTTGTACTGTTGCCTTTGTGTTCTTTTCCTTACCTTTCTATGCAAAATGTGGGGCTCCCTGTTGGGGGGGACAGAGGCTTTCGCCGGCATCCTCTGCGCCTAAGCCTCCGGTCACAGAACCCTGTTTGCCTGTATTCCCTGGATGCCGCTCCGTTAAGTTCATATGGTGTCAGTTACTGCTTTCTTGCCTCTTTTATTTTTTTAATGTGTTTTTTTTTTTTTTTTGAGAGACAGAGAGAGACAAAGCCCAAGCAGGGGGAGGGACAGAGAGAGAGAGAGAGACAGAGACACAGAATCTGAAGCAGGCTCCACACTCTGAGCCATCAGCCCAGAGCCCAATGCAGGGCTCAAACTCACAGACTGTGGGATCATGACCTGAGCTGAAGTCGGACGCTTAACCAGCGGAGCCAGCCAGACGCCCCTTTATTTAACTGCAGGACTGCACCTCTCTTGAGTATCAGATCCTTCTGCAGAAGTTCATTCCCTACCCTGCTCCTTTAAAACTTCCACCTAAGATTAGCCCCCCAATAACAAGGTAGGCGGTGAGCTGGGGGCACCTCAGGGCCTGGCTCTGAAATAGCTGCTCAGTAAGGACCCACCTGGCTTTTCCCTTCTCTCAGGGCAGCATTGAGAACCGAAGGCGCAGCTCGGGAGCCTCGGACATGCAGCTTTTCGGTTTCTCCCTTTATTGTCGGGTCACTGCCCACTCCCAGCACTGGCCCCAGCACTGGCCCGGGCTCCAAGGGGAAAGGAGTGTCCAGCCAATATTCACACGATCACCCGGCGCCATCCCCACATGCTGATACCAGGCAGCGGAGGGTCCTGGGAAGACATCAGGAGATTCGACAGCTGGAATACATTTTGTGTCTGTCGACGCGGGTTTAATGTGACTTTGTGGAAGCCTGCGATAGTTCACACTGGGAGAAGCATTCCAAGTTTCCAGCTTGGAGTCAAAACAGATGCTGCCGAGAGTTCTGAAAGCTGAGATGCAAGAATGAATGATGCCGTGGGGAAAAACCAGTGCCTTCCAAAACCTCTCAGTCTGTCCACACCTGTCTGAATCCAGTTGGTACTAACGTGTCCACTCCGAGGTGAGGACAGGACGGCCACCGTTAATATATCCCTTGGGTCGTGTCTCCAGTGTCAGAGCAAAGAGGGACCTGATGATTTGTAACCAATAATTTTAATAATATTTGTAAATGTTACAAGTTTTACAATTTGTCATTGTAATTTACAAACATTTTAATAATATTTGTTTTCAAAAAGGTGCATAGACAGCCATTCAAAACAGTTGACCTCCAGTCTTTTCTTAAATGTGTTATTAAATTCCTGGGTATGTATTTGCTGATATAACATTCACAGTGAGGCTCCCAAAAGGTGGAATTAAAATCCGTTTTCACACTCACCAAGAGTCACTTCAGACCCACCTGTCCATGCTTATAGGCCTCTCGCCTTCGTGTTCCAGCAGGTGCAGGGATTTGGTTGATCAAGATTGTCTTATCTTATTCAGAAATTGGCAAATCATGAGGGTGATTTCAAGTGAGCTTCATATTAAGGATGTTATTAAGAAGGAACGGGCTACTGCAGAAAGATGAACACCCCCCCAGTATTGCTATGCTCCATGCAACGGTGGCGAATGCAGTGTCTAAACTTGCCCGTGGCAAAGACACACGAGCAGCCCACAAGCATGTGAACAGATGCTCAACATCACTCATCATCAGAGAAACGCAAATCAAAACCACAATATCACCCCTTACCCATCAGGATGACGACCACTGAAAACGAAACAACAGAAAACGAGTGTTGGCAAGGATGTGAAGAAGTCGGAACGCTTGCACCCTGTCAATGGGAATGCAAAATGGCACAGCTGCTGTGGCAAACGGTGTGGCAGTTCCTCAAAACATTAAAAATAGAACTACCTTATGATCCAGCAATCCCACTTCTGGGTATTTATCCTGAAGACTTAAAAACAGAGTCTCAGAGAGGTATGTGTACACCCAGTTCACGGCAGCGGTCTTCACAGTAGTCCAGAGGTAGAAGCGATCTAAGTATGATATATATACATACAGACAACGGAATATTATTTAGCTTTAAAATGGAGGGAAATCCTGTCACACGCTACGACACAAATGAATCTTGAAGACATGATGCTAAGTGAAATAAGCCAGCCGCAAAAGGACAGCACTGATTGGTTCCACTCATATAAACTCCCTGGAGTAGTCAAAATCATGGGACCAGAGAATGGAACAGTCATTGTCAAGGGCTGGGGGGGAGGGGCTAAGGAGTTGTTGAATGGGTATGAAGTTTCAGTTTTACAAAATGAAAGGTTCTGGAGATTGGCTGCACAGCAATGGGAATACACTTTAACAATACTTAACTATACACTTAAAAATGGTTAAGATGGTACATTTTATGCTCTGTGTATTTTACCACAATTTTAAAAAATTATGCGAGGTCGCCTCCTGCCAGCGATGGTCATTGGGTGTCCGGTAGTGTTCTGCCGGGGTGTGTGTTACCCCAGGCATGCTGAGCCCTTGACTGTATCTTCCTGACCATGTCCACCATGGCCCCTGGCCGGGGTCTGGCAACCAGGTGCTCAGGACAGCTTTACTGAATGTCTGAGGGAGACAGGGAGAGAGAGGGAAGAAGGAATGAATAGAAAATCCACAAAAGATAAATTACAAATGGACGGTAACCAAATGAGAAAATTTTCAGCTTCACTAGTAATCAAAGAAAAGCCCATTAAAGCAACAATGAGTTTCTATTTCTCACTATGAAATGAGCAGAGATATTTATTATTATAATTTAAATACCTAACCCTGGCAAGGATTTGTCGAGATGGATAATTTCATACAGAACGGGCATATTTCTCTAAGGAAATGGAGTAGTACCTGTGAACAGCCCTATACAAATTCCTATCTCTTGACCCAATAATCGCCCATCTAAGAACGTATACTAAGGAATCAACAAGGTATCTAGACAAAGATTTAGGAGCAAAAATACCTATCAGGGAGTTATTATTGATAGCTCAAAGACCAAAGCAAACTATCTGACAAATGGAGAATGCTTAGGCACAAGATGTAAAATTATATAGCTATCAAAAAAATCATATTTTACAAAAATATTTAATGATGGAAGAAATTTTTACAATGATATACGCACGCAAGTTATAAATACGCAGAGATCGATTTCGTAAAAATCAAAACCACCACCAACCAGCCTCAGAGAGGAAATAACACATCAAGATGTCATCTGTGATTTCTGGATGAGGCGATTACCATGAATATTCCTGTCCCTTTCTTTAGCTTCTAAATATTCTAAAACAACCATTTGCTCTCTTTGGAATCCGAAACAAAATGTGACTTGACAAAAGTAAAAGTGTCGTCACCATCTGAGCATAGAGAAATTGCCCGGGGAACGGACAATGACAAGGCGCGGCCCCAGTTCTCAAGGAGCCTTGGCGAGGTAGTGTCCACATCTACGGCCCTGGGAGCCCAGGCGTGGGGGTGAGGAGATGGGACCAGGGAAGGCTCCCTGGAGAGGGGAAGGGTCTGAGCCCTCGTCTGCCTCCTCTGGACCTGTTGGTAGTGCTTCCTGCTGACTTTGTCCTCTGCCGGTATCTCTCTCTCCTCTTGGGCACTCTGCTCCTGCGATCCCTTGACGGTGCTTTAGGGTTTACTCTCTCCATGATATACGTAGGCTCAACTCAGCCAATATAGGATATTCTCCAAGGTTTTTCTCCTTAATACCCTCACTGCAGCCGGCTTTCAAGTCAGGGCTTATTTAAATCATCACTTGGCTTGCATCCGCTCTGGCAGGGATCACCTTGCTGGGAGGTCAAGGTCTGGGAGGTAGCAGGACCCACATGGCCCAGAGGGCTATTCCAGCGGAACCCTGGAGGCCTAGGCTGCAGAGGTGGGAGCCAGGTACCTCGATCGGAAAGCAGGGATAGGAGAAGCACAGAGGGGCAGTGGCTTGTCCAAGACAGGGTCACGGCCTCGGGTCAGGGCTGGGACGGTGTCTGGCTTTCCTGACACCCAGGGGGTGCCCCTGTGCACTGCACCCTGCCGCTGGAAGGGACAGGACCTTGTTCCCTGGCACACTTATGTCACGGCATTGGTGCCCAAGGAGACCAGGGCAGGCTGTGTGGGGGCGGGGCGTGTGCATGGTGGCTGCTTTTAGTGCTCATGGGAGAATGATGAAAATCAGCTTTGTGTCCACATCAGGAGACCATCTGGGTATCTTTGGAAATTTATAATTGAAAAAAAATTATAACCTAAATACAATCTTCTTCTATTTCGGCTTTATATGTCTGCCTCCCCCCCCACCCCCCGATATGAAAGAACTACATGTTCTGGAAATTTGAGCCAATGCAATAAACAAATCAAAGATGTGAATTATGACTGGTAGAAATAAGACAGACTAAATTTAGATATTATGTTTGCCTGTTTATAAAGCCCAGGGGGATTACCAAGCCAGGGAAGAAGAGACCCACATGGTCAAATGACCTGCCTGGATAGGCTCCAACTGTATAGTCTCATAATTATATACATATATGTGTGAGTGTGTATGCACATATTTACATGTGCCTATTAGCTGAGCTAATAAGATACAGGTAAGGATGATAGAAATCCTCAGGTGCCCTAAACAAAGCCAGAGGGGGTAACACATAAGTGGATGCAGGTGCCCAATATTTTGACAGGTGCTGGGAATAAAAAGATGGAAAAGTGACTCCTACCTTCATGGGGCTTGCGTGCTACAGCACAACACAGACCTCAGTCAAAGACTCACATGCCCCTAAAACATTCCCATCGTGACAAGCACTCTGAGGGATGGAAGGTACCAGGTGAGCATTTAACAGGGTGATTTACCTGGCTGGAGAAGTCAGTTGCCACCTGAGGGTTGAGTGTCATTAACAAGTGAATTAAACAGTAATTTTAAAACGTAAAAACCAGCATCTAAAAGAACTAAAACAAGACAGAAAACAAAAACAAACAAAAACATACAGGGATCATTTTGGGGTAGGACTTATTTTAGTATAATGCTAAAGGGAAAAAAGAAAAAACATCACTAGATTCTACCACATCAACATTTAAAGCTTCTACACATTGAAAAAACATGGCAAACAAAAGTAAAAGGTAAAATACAAATTGCCAAAAAAATACAACGTGCATAAGAGTTGTCATCTTTCATATGTAAAGAGACTTATTCATCAATGAATAAGTTGGAACCTTGACTTACAGCCCATGACTGGGGTAGCAGGGCAGAGCCATAAAGAATGGATGACTGGGGCGCCTGAGTGGATCAGTCAGTTAAGCGTCCGACTTCGCCTCAGGTCATGATCTCGCGGTTCGTGGGTTCGAGCCCCGCGTCGGGCTCTGTGCTGACTGCCAGCTCAGAGCCTGGAGCCTGCTTCACATTCTGTATCTCCCTCTCTCTCTGACCATCCCCTGCTCTCTCTCTCTCTCAGAAATAAAACATTAAAAAAAGAATGGCTGATTAATTCAGTGAATGGGATAATTGTTACCAGCACACACACAAAAAGATGAGCGCCTTATGGGACATCACAAACAAATGTAAGTTCCAGGTGGGAGAACAATCTGTTAAAAGAAACACTTTAAAACTCTTAGAAGAAAATTCAGCTTGATATCTGTATGACCGCAGGCAGAGAATTTCTCAGGACACACAGGGGACAGACAAGCAAGAAAATGAAAGTGTGGTAATTACTACAATGTTAACCAATTTTTAAAAAATCTGTACATGAGAAGACACAACCAAAAAAACTGGAAAGACGGGTACAGAACGGAGTAAATGAATTCAACGCACATGAAAGATGAGGCATTAAGGCAGAACTTCCGAAGCAGCTTTTCAGACTTTCTTGCGCACGAGAATCACCGGGAGAGCTTTTTAAAAATTCAAGTTCTGATTGAGCAGCTCTGGGTGGGGCAGAGAAGCTGCATGTGTAACAAGGTCGCAGGTGAAATTTAGTCTGCAGGTCCACACAGTACACTCTAGAAAAGCAAGGACAAACTGGACTCCTACAGATAAACTAAAAAAAGAAAAAACACCCCCATACTCAGTTTGGCAAAGGGTCTGAGCACATAATCCTCAGAAGACAGAAATCGGGGAGTGCCTGGGTGGCTCAGTCGGTTGGGTGTCCGACTTCGGC